TATAATTTTTAAAAGGGAGATGAAAATTGCACAGCAATTTTTTTGCTTCGCTTGTACTAGCACAGCAAATGTCATTGTTTTCGTGTCTTGATGCAATGTTGCCAGTATTAATATGATTTTTACTAACCCCTTCTTGATTCAGGTAGGAAGGGTCTGAGCTGTGTGGTTAAACTCTTGCCATAGTGAACTAATAGAAGTTCTGCTGCTGTAGCAGTTTCAGTTAAGGGTCAAATCCCAGTCAGAAGTTACTGTAGACTATCGCTGTGTATGGGCTTAGGCTAAGCCTTCCTGTAAGCCATACCTCATCTGGAAGGTATGAGGAGGGAACACTGAAAGACATTGCCATTGCAGCTGTACTTTGGAGTGTAAATCAGGCTTTTTCCAAATAGTTCCGTAGCTGTTGGAATTAATCATGCTGATCTGTGTCATGGCTAATATATGAACCTATGTTTCAGCTGTTGTTTGAGTTGAAACACTTGGGTTCTTTGCACTGTACCTGTTTTCACAATGTTGGTGACAACTGAGTCATCTTTGGGACTGTGGTCCTGTTTCAGATCTGCTTGCAGTTGGCCACTGGATTAAAAACAAATAAAAAAATCCAGGAAGAGCACAGCCATCCTTTGGATTTCCGGATTTGGTTATTCAGTCTGTTTTATAGGCATTGTTTGTTTCAGAAGTCAATTTTTTAAAAGCTTTACTGTGGAGGGCTAGTTTTATTTGCTTGTCATGAAAGTATGCAGACGTTACTATAATGAAGTTGTCTTCTGTGATAGCAGAGGCTTGTTCTTTAAATGCTTGTGTGAAATACTGTAAAGTATTGTTTCTGTGTGGTAAATCTGCCCCTAATGTTGCAATGTGTTGGCTACGTCACACAGTAATCGAATACCTGTTAAATGATACCTTATATTGCTGTGAAATATGTTTCTCTTTGTGGGATGTGTTGATACTTTATTATTCATACATGCAAAAAAGTCAATCTCTATAGCTGGATAGGTCAGTTATTCCAGTTCATGCTTTTATTACAACAGGTTGCAGCTCTCCAAGAGGAGAAGAGTAGCCTGCTTGCTGAGAACCAGATTTTGATGGAACGTTTAAATCAGTCTGATTCTATTGAAGATCCCAACAGCCCTGCGGGTCGTAGGCACTTTCAGCTGCAGACACAACTAGAACAGCTCCAAGAGGAAACATTCAGGTAGAAAAGCTAGTTGTGGTTAGACTGATTGTTAGTAGCTGGTAATAGGTTAGACTTAGATGCTTCTGGTTCTGCTGGTATTTACAAATTAGTGTAATGGATGCTGTAACCACAGCAGTACCATTTTTACAGTGATGTGCATGTTATGATTTACCTCTTTGCAAGCTCCAGCATAAAAAAATGCATGTGAGCTCTGCACTTCATTTGCATTTCTTCAAGACATGGAAATACAGTTGCTCTTTAAATATCCTTCCTGGTCCTTTTGGCTGTTGCTTTCTGTCTGTGTGAGCCTATTCCACTGAAGAAAGCTGGTTCTCTTAACCATTACCTTTTCATTCTCTTTGCCATTCTTCCCCTATCCTTTGAGAGTGAAACCATGGCATTTCTTTACACTGCTAGTTTTTCTTTTGCTGTTCTCCTCTCATTGCCCTTTCTAATTCTTACGATAGGTGCCATTAACTTTCCTTTTTTACTGGCTTTGCCATTTTTCCCCTTCCTCTTGTTAAGTCTCCTTCCTGCTTATCCTAACATACCTTCTCTGATCAGTTTCTTGAAAACTGTTCAATGTTTCTCTTTCACAGCAGCTAGTGACCAGATTTCTTCTTTCTATACACCTGCCATGTAAAAGCAGTAATGTAGTGGTCATGTCTCCCATACTCTGGAATGATTCCTACCTGAGTTTATTATCAATTACTGTTTGAATAGGTTTTCTCTCCATATTCAATATCTGCACTGTCTGTTATGTTAGTTTCAGGTTCTGGGGGTCTTTCTGAACCCTTTTCATGTGTGAGATGCATATCCCGCTCTCCTTTACTTCCCTTCCCTGCCTTCATAGCATGTGGTTTCTAATGGCAATTTGTGTGTGTTCTTTCTCCAGCTCTTCCCAATCAGTCAGGACATACGTACAGCTTAACTAATGCCCAGTGTGGTACAAGTTTTTCTCCTACTCTTGCTCCTTTGATAATTCTGTTTTGTCACGATCCAGATCTTTATTGTTTATGGTTTAGATGACTTAAAGACTTTCTCTTATATCCATTCTTGTAGATTCTTTTCAGATTCCTTGAATTAGTTCTTTTTCCTCATGCACCTATCTCCCATTCTGGATAGTTTTAAATTTAATTTCAGATCAAAATCACAATTGACTTTGTGTTCCAGGTTGTGTCTTCTTCTGTTTATTCAAAATTTTCACTGCCAGGTCAATGGAGCTTTGCCTATGTGTGCTGTACACAAGCAGTTCACTCCAGCAACTTTGGTCTGAGTTCTTTACTTGCTAGCTACATAACCTGATTCTTCAGACATACTGGGCATGCTCAAGTTCTTCATGAGTCAATAAATTAAGTCACCTTGAGAGCTCAATGGCATATATAATGTCTGACAATCAAGGCAATATTGTTAAAGGTGTATAGGAGTTGGACAGTTGAACAAAATCTTAGGATAAACGATCATCTTCAAACTCTCTATGCTCCAAGAAAACAAAAGTGAAAATTTGTTCCTGAGCTTCCATTGTGAAAAATTACTATTACAGAAAAAACTCTCATGATTTCTTTTTGAAAATATAATTACCTTATGATTTTCCAAACAGAAAGACTGTTGTCAAATTGGGGGGTTCAAAAAAGTCAACCTGCTTCTACATTTATGTGTAAACAGCTTGGGCTGTTGTTCTCCTTTGCTGCATCAGAAGGTCATTTCATGTGCTTTTAGAGGGGATGATGATGAGGAAAGGTAATTGTGGCTCAAGATGAGAAATTATTTTCAGCTTTTCTTTGTTCCTATAGATTAGAAGCTGCCAAAGATGATTATCGAATACGCTGTGAAGAACTAGAAAAGGAAATTGTGGAACTGAGACAACAAACAGAAGAGCTTACTACATTGGCAGAGGAGGCTCAGTCCTTGAAAGATGAGATAGATGTACTCAGGTAAACTCTGTCCATTAACCTCTTTTCAACTATTAACTTTTAATCCATATAATTTTTGTACTTGATTTACATTACCTTTTGTTTAGATAATTTAAATATAAATACAAGTGACAAGATTGTTCTGGATCCTCCAGTTAAAGTACACAGACCAGCACACAATTCTGCTTAAGTAAAATATCTGTTTATTATGTGTCTGATCAGTAACTATTCGTAAACTTGGCAATCCTATGCCATCTTATGGTTATAACAGGGCACTCACTGATGTTTTGAGTATTCTCTACTCATCTTCATCATGAGATGGGCATCTGTTCTTATCAGGAAACTAGGCCCTTTCCTGGGTTTGCATTCTTTGGACTTGGGGTGGTACTTTTGGTTCATCATGTAATCTTAATATAGACAACATCTGTTGCAGCTCTCATTGGCACTGGATTTTAGCAACGAAAATTGTCATGATTTGATGATGCTAAGGGTTTATAGGGTGGGACAGCCACTTTTACTACAAAGCAGATCCTTCAGTAATGGCGTTTTGCTGCCATGGGTTATTCAGAATAGTTATCCGTTCAGTGGGAGATTCCCTGGATTTGGTAGGAAATTGTGTCTGTAAACTGGGTGGTTCTAAAAGGAAACTGGGGACAGTAATACTTGCAGAGATGTGGGTGGTTGATGGGTGAGGGCACCTGCTCTCCAGGCAGTGCAGCAGGTGGGTTGAAAAAACTGTAAAAAGTTATGAATGGAGCCTGGTGTTTCTTTTTCTTTTTTCTTTTTCGTAGAAGGAATCAAGCTCCAAAAACTATTAGGGTACTTCAATGTCACCAAGTATATATTGCCCAGGAGATAGATTTTTATTATTTTGTTCCTGGCTATTATTAGAACAAATTGAAGGCCAGAAAATTTTCTTCTTTACCCTTGTAAAATGCAGGACAGAATTTAATTCAGAATTGAAAGGAAATGGGTGGGAGTGAAGTTGTTTTAACTACTATTTCGAGACTGGAAGCAGATGAGAAAGCTCTGTTAGGAGGAGTGATAGTGTCTTAAAGAACCTCCATCAGCAGCTCTTTGAGTTGACAAATACTTATGGGAGGAAAGCAGACAATTTAAAAGTGAAAACATTAGTAATAGGAGGATATGATTGCTTTCTTGTTCTCCCCATGAGGTATCAATGTTGTCTGCATTAAGGCAAAATAGTGAAGAAGCATTTAATTCTGTTCATTATGTTAGTTTTCAGAGTAGAAATTTGATACAAATCTATCCCTTCAGGCATTCTTCTGATAAAGTTGCCAAGTTAGAAAGCCAGGTAGAGTCATACAAAAAGAAATTGGAAGATCTGGGTGATCTGCGACGGCAGGTGAAGCTTTTGGAAGAGAAGAATACGATGTACATGCAAAATACTGTGAGCCTGGAGGAAGAACTAAGGAAAGCCAATGCAGCACGCAGTCAGCTGGAAACATACAAGAGACAGGTGAGGATAGGCATCATCAGTTCCTGTGGTACTTTGTATTGTCCAACAATTTCTCTTCATAACATGGCTAATACCTCAAAAAAAGAAACTATGAAAAACCAACCCCTTTGGTTTGGAATACTTCCATGTTTTGTAGGTACTACCTTATCCTCCTTTCCTGCAATTGTAATTATTGAAAATTTATATTAGTTTGCCAATTGTCAGTATTTCTTACATTTAAAAATCAATTAATGTTAAGGGTTGTTTTTCTAAAGTTATTCCTAATTCATATTCAGTATTGAGGCTTGAATTAGAGACTCTCCTTTCAGAAAAAGTACACACTTTTGTCTTAAAATTTTCCAGTCATGAGCAACATACCACAGCTGAGGTAAGTTATTCCTGTTGTTAAATAACCTCCTTTTTTTAAGTTCTAGTTTGTCTGTTACATCTGAATTTGTCCAGTTAAGAAAAGAGAAGGACACATGTCATCCCTGTTGTTTATATGAACCCATCAGAGTACAAAATGTATCATCAGCACACTCTCTGAAATGAAAGGCATCTGTTTATTCTCCTGTCTTTCAAAGTACCACATGATGCTGTTCCTGTAAAGGTGGAAGATGTGCTTGATCTTCTCTCTACTTCCACAATACAGGGACATGACATCATTCTGGCATTCTTGTTAGAGCCAGACAGAGCACGCTTTGTTAAGGAGTAGTGCCTGCTCTGTATTTCTGCCTGATCAAACGGTCACAGCACAGGGTCCCTGTATGTCAGCTTACAGCAGAAAAAAATACAGAAACAACCACTAACAACATTGCAAGCCCAGGAGCAATGTGTGTCCCTAAGACTTGACAGATTTATTTTTTTTTCCTGCACTTGGCTGTCTCAGTTATTAAGACAACTACTTGCAGTGTTTGTGGGCTAACTGTAAATACAGTCCAAATGTTTTGACCTTAAAAAAAAGAACCCAGACAAGAAGAATCATGAAATAACAGACAATCAAAGGGAAAGTAAAGGCATAAAGCAATGGCCTTCCACACATGAGTAATATCAAGTTCACTGACAACAAACAATCAATTAAACAGCTGAGCATATGATATTGCTGTGCAACATCTGCATCTGCTTTTTCTTATGTCACCAATGATAAGGATTTTGGAAGGGGCAGCCCCATCATTTGTGCTGCAAGAGTACTCCTTTTCTTCATTTGTTCCCTGTATTTTATGGGTAAGATTTCCTGTATGAGGAGCTGTTGATTTGTACAAAACTGTTTGCAGAGTCTGGAATAAGCCTCAAGTGTCTCATGACACATGTTTTCACACCAAACCACAGTGTCTCAAAATGAACACTTAGTGTGCTTTCTTCAGTATTTGTAAGACTGGTCTCCTATTGAGACCTGCCTGTGAATCATAAGCCACAAAACTATTTTTCTGGGAATCCTAAATTTTGCTACAAGAAATAAGCTAAGGATTCTGATGTTATACTACTGCTGAGCACTAGTGCGCTCTTGTTGTGGAATGTGTCTTGTCTGGTGTGTGAAGGATCCAATCCTAGTTAGGATGATGCCATCAGAGGAGTTATTTCCTTGGCTTTCATCTGCTGTGCAGATGAAAGTGCTTGATTCAGACTCCTGTAGTAATTTGCTAGGAAATTGTGTCTTCTTTGCACCTAGCACTTTCTGTGAGGTGAGGTTAGTGGTGGTGTTTCATGCTGGGAGATGTAATAGCATATAATTATTTATTTAAGAAGATTTTTCACTTTTCTGAAAGCAAGCATAAGCACTTTCTAAGAAACTTTATTGTAGCATGAAGAATTGAAACGTGAAGATTCCAGGATAGTTTTTTTGTAATTTTAATTCAGCCCCTTTGTGCATGTGCATTCTGATATGTTTTGGACAGTATGTCTTGCTTTTCTTTGTTGCAAGATTCCTGCTTTACTCATTTCATATGCAGATAATGCTTAGTAAATGTGATGGCAGTTCATTTTTTTTTTTAATCTTCTGCATTACCATGAAACTGTGTATCTTTCTATACACTCATAAGTCCTAATTCAAGACTATTTATTTCCTGCTATGTTTTTCTATATTACCATAGCATGATGATTACAAACATGAATGCATTTGTTTCCATTTGAGGTGAAAATACACTTATTTTACTAGTGAAGTGAAGTCACAGGTGAAGGCCTGCATATTTTTTTTACACCTGCAGTTATTTTGATAGTGACAGTGATGGATGTTAACTCTGAGAAATGAAATGTTTTCATAGCTAACATTTTCTCTGTTGTTTTTTTTTTTTTAATCTCTGAAACGGCGGGCCTATGCTTTTTTTTGCAGCCCTTAATTTAAGAACAGCAACAGCAAAGTCCTTCTCTATGACTTAAGATCATGCAGATTTTAGGCCTTGTAGTTATTTTGCTACAGCTGTACACATTGAAAATAAAAGGTAATTAGAAACACCAGGCAGTCTTAATGTAGGTATAGCTACGGCTTTGCTTCACAGGATAAGTTAATCAGTTCCTTTGTAGACCAAAAGCCATGAAAAAGCCTTGTTGCTTCAGAAGAAGCTGTATGTCTCTAGCTGAGTATTCATTCAGCTTTTGTATTTGCAGGTCAGTCTTTATTCTGATTACTTGCTTCCATGCTCTCTGCATTATGAGCTTTACTAATGTTCTGGGAATCAATCTTTGCTAGTTAAGGCTAAGAGTTTTGAAAAAGCAAGACTTCACTGCTTGCCTTCCATCGTGCTCAGCTTTCAGATCATTTAATTTTCAAAGCTCTTTCCTTATCTGTAGTTGAAAGCATACATGCGTCTCTGTTAGCAATGTTTCTTTCCAAAATAGAGAAAACGGTATGAGCCTGTGGCTGAATCTTTATATTAGTGTATTAAAAATGATGAGGCAATCTCAGGTTAGGAAGTGTTACCTGGCTGCATAAACTGGTAGTTGAATTCTGAGTGAGATTTGTGAAATAGAGTTAACAAAAGGTGTAGGTAATTTGCTTTCTTGAGAAGTTTTTTCTTTTTACTAGGCTTCTCAGAATGAGGGAAGATTTTTCTACTTTTCCTAAGCTCTTTGATCCATGGAACTACATAGCTTTTTCCTGTAAACCATGCTCAGGCTAAATACTGAAAATACTGCACAGTTTTTGCTTCTTTTGTTGTGCTAAGACCTAATATTTGAATACTGTTTATTTTGCTGAGACACAGAACAACTGGTGAAAGCAGTTTTTAGTGTGTCCTGTAGGTAACTATTTCACTTGTTTACTACATGACTTGTGGTGCATGGTAATTGGCTACTATGTCTTGTGTATTTTGTTTTAATATTTGTAGACACATTATTGATTCTTGTTCTCACAGGCAGTTGAACTACAAAACAGGTTATCTGAAGAATCCAAGAAAGCTGATAAATTAGATTATGAATGCAAACGACTGAAAGAAAAAGTAGACAGCCTTCAAAAAGAAAAAGATGTAAGTGCCAAGGTGTTATTTCTTTGTTAGTAACAATAGCAACTTTGTGTCCTTTATAACACAGAGATATGGTAATTATGGTTAGCAATCTTTTTAAAGGAGGAAGTCCTTTTTCATCTAAAATTTCCTAACGTTTGTGTACAAGATACTGTTTAAACCTAAGAAGTGTACAGCATGAAATAAAGTGACTGTACAAAAGCATATGCAACCCATTTAAGAGAAAAAGCCATCACATTTGGCATCTGGAGTTATTTCTTGGCCATTTACCATGAGAAGGTTAATTGCCAAGTATTCTGAAAACCTGTTTACAGTAGGGTTTCTGCAGTGTCATCCTAGAACCAAACTCCTGTTGCTTTTTTTTAAGGCATTCTTTGAGGTACCAACACCATGCTTCTCTCTGTGGAGCCATGACTGATGTAGTAAGAGGCTTAGTAATCACGTAGAGGGTAATGTCCTTTGTGGCAATCTCACCTTTTATGACAGCTCTTTGTTGACCTCTCTTGTCCAGCCAGCATGGAACACACAGGATAGATACCAATCTCCCCCCTTCCTCTTGTGTCATTTGCTGCTAGTGATTCTGCGATTCATTGCTCTGTGCTTTCTTGCCAAGACTGATCCTTTGGAATTCTCTTGCACAGTGTTGTTTCTGACTGGTAAATTTTGGGTTATTCTTAGGAATCTATATGCAGGTGCCCCAAACTACCTCAAACCGAGGTCATCACTTACAGTTAGCAGTTTCTTAGGCTTGTTTTAGTTATAAGTCCATTGATCCAACTGGCGGCAACTGTAGGCTTTTTACTCAGTAGTCGTAGTTCACATCCAGTTCTTTCCAAAATTTCCAGCCCTTGCTCTTGAATATCATTTGAACTGAAATTTTTCAGTTATTTTCTGTTCATAGGTCATTAATTTCCATTTTTAATACATTTTCAAATTACAGTGGACACTTGACCTTGATATCACTTCCATCTGCTGTTCAGTTCAGGCTGGAATGCTTGTAGTAACTAAATCTGTACTGCTCTTGGGCTTTCTTTCCTGCTCTTTATTTAGTTTTTTTTCCAGTTCTGTTATGCTTGACAATGGTAAGGTTGTTTCTGTGGCTCATCCATTGCTTGGTGGACCATGTCATGTTGCACAAAGGATCTGAATTGCAGGCCATTGTCATACAGTTTTCTGTTTTAATCCCTGGAAAATAGCATTTTTTTGAGCTGGGTATTGTTTTAAAGTCCTTTCTTTTGAATGGATATGCACCTGTGAGAAGCAGATTACAGCTAGAAGTCTCTCATGTGAATTTAGTGAGTCACTGTCTGTGTTACTTACTTTTTCTGTTCCCTGTTGTCGCATAGATGTCAGCAATGTAGGCCACCACAGGTCACAAACTATGTAGCGGTATCTTGTCAATTATATTTTGGAAATGGGTACTGAAATTGATTTTATCCTTTTGTTTATGTTTTGGCAAAGTGAGTTAGTGTGTTTGATACCTTCAGCTAAGTCACTTGGAATGTTACCTATGTGGTGTGCTACATGATAAGTACTAAGGTAATTCGATGAGTTGCTTGTACAGAAGAAGCCCTAGAGCTTTTTCTAGTCAGTAAAATATTCTGGACTTTGATAATCAGCTCTGTTAATGGAATGTATGCAAGGAGCTGTCAGCTGACACAAGTCCATACCTGCCCAGAGCCAAGGTCTGTCCTGGACCATTTAGTAATACTGAACATGTCTGATTTTGGATCAGACTACAACTTGGATAGTTACATAGTAGCCATTTTCTTTCATTTTTGACCTTTGGCAACCTTCTGAACAAAAACTGGATACTCCCTTTAGATGATTTTTTTTTCCTGCCAGAAAGGGACTTGTGCTGAATTGAAAGATTTTTTGCCTGATGCTGTTGAATACCAGATCTGTCTGGATCCCTAAGTGTTCCTGTCCTGTTCTTCAGTTGTCTTTTCACTGAGTCTCAAGCAACTAGTTTTCTTTCATTGCCAAGATGCTGGTGTATGGCAAGGCCTGTTGGTGCACAGGAGGAGTGGGATATGGAAATGCTGCTCACACTTTCACTAGTGAAAGACAAACAAAGTGAAGTTAAAGCAGTTTGTTTGTTACGTTGACTCTGTACTTACCTGCTCGTTACTTCACTCCTGGCTAAATCTAGGATTCATGGTGAGGGAAAAATTTATAGTGTCTTAATTCACTTGCCTTTTCCTTACAATCAGCCCCAGTGAGAGGAAAAGGAAAATGACAGTGTGTCCTCAGTGGATGCTGTTTACTGCCTGGTACCAGAACTTTGTGTCACTAGTACCTTGTTTTTGTAAGCTTATATCCTGATATTTTTAGCCCCATAAGAGCAGGAACCTTTCTCAATAAACCTCTCTGTTCATTTGGAGTATATAATGCTTACATTTATTGTGTTATGAAATTAGACTGAGATACCTTAATTTGAAAATGATCTCTAGAGTTGCATAAAATCCTTTTCAAAGTGTTGCAGTCTCTGCCTTTTGGTGAAACTGTATACTGGATTTGTAGTGCCAAGACTGATATTCATTCTCTTTCCAATTATTCAGAGATTGAGAACAGAAAGGGATTCTTTGAAAGAAACTATTGAAGAGCTTAGATGTGTACAAGCTCAGGAGGGTCAGCTCACCACTACAGGTAAAGGAGATTAAATGCCTTTTTTCTAAAGTTTACAGGACTTCTCTGGAGAGTATCGAATATGCTTTTGGTTAACACAGAATAAATTTAAGCTCCTCTAAAATCAGCAGTGAAAAACTGCTTCAATTGTTCTTTACTTTGTAAGCATTCAAAACCTTCAAATATTGTTTCAGTCAACCGGAAATATTAGTCTCCTCCCACATGTGATATTTTTATAATGTTAATCTGATTTCTGTGTCGTTATGTGGTTTTCTTTAAAGAGGTATTTTCTCATGTTTCCTATTTTACAGCTCATTTCTGTGTGTAACATTGCATAGCTTTTTAGTTTTTAGGTAAGTCAATGAGCAGAAAATAAACCACAAAATTATTATTCAGAATGGGTGAAGTTAGAAATAATGATTAGTCTCCAAATGAAATGGTGCATGTCTGTCTGTCTTGCTGTAGCCTGATATAGTGTCATTTTCCATTGTCTAACAATAACTGTAAACTTCTAGAACAATGTTTACTTCTTGTCATGTAAAGAAAATAACTGGTGTGTTTGCAAAATTTTTTACTTTTCTGTGCTCAGGATTGATGCCTCTGGAAGGACAAGAGCCTTCAGACAGTTTAGCAGCAGAAATCATTACTCCAGAAATAAAGTAAGCATGAGCATGTGTTTTGTGTGGCTGACTTTTGCAATGGTCTATGGCAAATTAAACATGAGTCAGCAATGTGCCCTGGTAGCCAGGAGGGACAGCTGTGTCCTGGGGTGCATCAGGCACAGCATTGCAAGCTGGTCAGGGGAGGTGATTATCGTACTCTACTCTACACCGGCACAGCACCACCTTGAGTCCTGTGTGCAATTTTGTGCACCACGGTATCAGAAGGATATAAAGCTATTAGTGTCCAAATAGGGACTACAAAGATGGTGAAGGGCTTAGTGGGGTAGCCATAAAAGTAGTGGCTGGGGGGGGTTGGGTTTTTGAGAGAAGACCTCATGGTGGTCTACATCTTCCTCACAA